ATGGGAATACCTTCCTGGTCTCTCCCTGATCCCATCTCTCTCTGCTCAGACATCAACGAGTGCCTGCGCTTTGGGACCTGCTCCCAGCTCTGCAACAACACTAAGGGCTCCCATGTCTGCAGCTGTGCCAAAAACTTCATGAAGACAGACAACACGTGCAAGGCAGAAGGTCAGGAGGGAACAGTCTGTCTATCCCTGGCGAAGCGAGCCCCAGGGCAGTGCCAGGCTCCCAGTGACCCTGTTCCTGCCCCGCTGGGGAGCTGGGCTGAGCCCCTGCTCCTGGCTGAGCCCCTGCTCCCAGCCCAGCCTGTACCAGCCTTTCCTCCTCCTGCACAGGCTCTGAGCACCAGATCCTCTACATTGCGGATGACAACAAGATCCGGAGCATGTACCCCTTCAACCCCAACTCAGCCTATGAACCAGCCTTCCAGGGTGACGAGAACGTGCGCATCGATGCCATGGACATTTACGTCAAGGGCAACAAAATCTACTGGACCAACTGGCACACAGGCAGGATCTCGTACCGGGAGCTGCCTGCCTCCTCTTCTGCCTCCACTGCCTCCAACCGCAACCGGCGCCAGATCGATGGTGGTGTCACCCACCTGAACGTGAGTGAGCTCTGCCAGGGCATGGTGGGAGCGACGGGGATGGGCTGATGGTGTCCTCACCTCACCTCTCCCCACTCTCTGCCCTGCACAGATCTCAGGGCTGAAGATGCCACGGGGAATCGCCATCGACTGGGTGGCTGGGAACATCTACTGGACGGACTCAGGGCGGGACGTCATCGAGGTGGCGCAGATGAAGGGCGAGAACCGCAAGACGCTGATCTCGGGAATGATCGATGAGCCCCATGCCATCGTGGTCGACCCACTGAGGGGGTGAGAGGCTCCAACCCTTCTTCCCTTTCTCTGCCCAGCCCTCACCCCACTCCCCTCACCACAAGCCCACCTATGGTAGCAGCTCCCTGTGCCCCAATGTCACCATCTGCGTCAGCTCGAAGTGCCACAGAGTTGAGCAGTGATTCTGAGACACCATGGGGATAATGTGTGTGGGTTTCTCCTCCAATGGAGCATCAGTCCTGCTCTTCCCCTGCGAATGACCTGCCTATGTCCTTCCAGGACGATGTACTGGTCAGACTGGGGCAATCACCCCAAGATTGAGACAGCCGCCATGGATGGGACGCTGCGTGAGACCCTGGTGCAGGACAACATCCAGTGGCCAACAGGTGAGCAGAGATGTGACAGGAGAGGCACAAGGGGAGGGAAAGCCTTGATGGGAGCACGTACCACCACTTGTTTTGGGAAGGGTCATTCTGGGTGCTTGGAGCCCCACAGCAGGAGGGTATAGAGGTAGCATGGTCACTTGGAGCTCAGGGTGGGCTGAGGGCTCATCTTGGGGTCTGTGTCCCCTCAGGCCTCGCCGTGGACTACCACAACGAGCGGCTGTACTGGGCTGACGCCAAGCTCTCCGTCATCGGCAGCATCCGGCTCAACGGCACTGACCCTGTCGTGGCCATTGACAACAAGAAGGGTAAGCAGTGCTCAGGTGCTATGTTAGTCCCCAGCCTCAGATCCACCCCAAATCCCTGCCTCCATATGTCCCCTCATGGCTTCCCCAGGGCTGAGCCACCCGTTCAGCATTGACATCTTCGAGGACTACATCTACGGCGTCACCTACATCAACAATCGCATCTTCAAGATCCACAAGTTCGGGCACAAGGCTGTCACCAACCTGACGTCCGGCCTCAACCACGCCACTGACGTCGTGCTCTACCACCAGTACAAGCAGCCTGATGGTGAGTGTGGGTCTGGGACCCCCACCCTGCTCCTGGGGTGGCAAGGAGGTGCTAGAGCAGGTTGTCACCACCCTGTCCCCTCCCCTCCACAGTGACCAACCCTTGTGACCGCAAGAAGTGCGAATGGCTCTGCCTGCTCAGCCCCAGTGGCCCTGTCTGCACCTGCCCCAATGGCAAACGCCTGGACAACGGCACCTGCGTGGTCATTCCCTCACCCACCACCTCCCCTGTCGGTAGGTGACGCAGGAGGAGGAGGAGGGAGGAAGTCGAGTCCTGCCAGCATGGTCCTGCTCACCTCCATCCCCTCCATCCCTCCCTCCCAGTGCCCACCACCGA